TCCACCCCTAGGTTCCATAACCACAACAGTCAAGCAGCCAGGGGCTCCCCCTGTTTCTGCCAAAATTGTTTCCCCAAGTCAACTAACTCAAGCTGGGTATAGAGGAGATAGGTGGTAAATTGGGTGACCTGTGAATTGCCCACTGTTTGCCTTCCCAGTCCCACAGGCTGCTTATGCTTCATTTTCTGATAAACAACAGGTCATACCTGGGGACACACGGTCTCCCCCAACTCACCACTGGGCTCGTTGTCTTCCCTGGTGTGAGAGGCAGGAGTGGCCAGTCGCCACATGTCACCCTCCAGGAAATCCATCTGCACTTCCAACAACTCTGCTTTTCATTTCATATCTTCTAGTCACTGCACTTCATCCTGTAGGATAATTGTCCGTTCTTCCAACAACCTTGCTTTCTGCTTCAAATCTTGAAGAGTGAGCAGCAGCCAGGCTCTAGTCAGCAGAAAAGTGGCCACTGGGCACTACACGCTCAAGGACAGCCACCTTTCATCCCCCTCCCAAGGGGTTTTCCACTCTAGGTCTATGCTGGCTTGCAGTGCAGTGAGTAGCAACCAGATCCTGGTCAACAGGAAAGTGGTCATGGAGCACAGTGACATTTCCTTCTTCTCCAAGGGCTTCTTGGCTCCTGTACCTGCTCAGAATCCTGCCTCTACTATGCCAATTATAGAGCTAGAGCAAGGGTCTGGAGCTCACAGATCCTTTGAGCCCATTCACAAACCCTTCACACACAAATCTAACACATAGGGAGAGAAGATCAGCCCTTCAGGTGTGAATTGACATAGATGAGACTGAGGAGGTATAAGAGATCCTGCTTCAAAAAGCACAGACATGCTTGTTCAGTGACATGAGCAAGAGGTTCAAAGAGATGAATTATTTGCAGAACTTAACACAGTCCACAGCTTTGAAATGAGGGGAAATAATAAAGTTGTGTCAATAGAACCAGGAGTTTATTGCCAGTGAATTTAAAACAGATGTCTACAGGAAATAGTAGTTTTGCAACTCATACACGTCCCTGAAATCCAGCCAGAAGAACTTCAGCCATTTAAATCCCAGTTTTTGAATGTAGCCTAAATAGCCTGGTAAGCTGCGAGAAACTTACATATCTCCACCTGACAAATTGTATACTTCAGAATAATTAAGACAGCAGAATAATTATAAGTTACTTGTCAGCTTATAATTTTTAATTTTTAAAGCAAATTTCTAATAAAGTAATTTTTGCAATATTGCTGACTGCTATTAGGATTTGGATGATTTACCATTAAAAGATATTAAAGAGAGAACTGGGACGAGAGACAAGGCTAAGTTTTCAAGATTTAATTGAACATGGATATATCCCTTAGCTTCAGCATCAATACTGAGTATAATCAGAAATTATTGAGGAAAAATGGTCTTCTATTCAAAGTTACCCTAGACTGTTAAAATCATTGGCCTTTACATCTGATAGTACATAGACTAGCACTAGACTCAGAACTCAGGAAATCATTGTTAATCAAATAATAGGAAGCTTTTCAGAAAATTATTTTCATAATGTGCTTAAATGATGAAAAATCAGGGTATAGGAGTAAATGCACTGAGCATTCAACATTTGTCTTTAAAATACTTTATTGTTATATGAGCAATAAGTTGTCATAATAATATCTAATATATAGTGAGTTCCCCACAGGTGCTATCTCCTAGGAACAACACTTTGAGATAGGCATTACTACTATCTTCATTTTGCAGCTAATAAAAATTAGGTAAAAAGAAGGTGAGTATTTTGCCTGCTGTTATACAGACTTTGTATATCTCTGTCAGGTTGAGCTCATCTTAAGGCGATCTGGCTCTTTAAGGCTGTGTTCCTAGCCATGCCATTAAACTGCTTCTTGCAAGGATTTTCTTGGAGAAAAATTCACTCTTATGTGAATTCCAGTCATTTTAATAAGTTCTATGCTGTATGGCCAGTATGTTTTAAGTTTAATGATAAGGTTAATTGAGAGAATACTGGCTAAGTACTCCCTTAAGAATTTATGTATTTATTTTTAAATTATTTTATTTTACTTATTTATTTTTGGCAGCTGGCCCTTACAGGGATCTGAATCCTTGACCTTGGTGTTATCAGCATCCCTTAAGAATTAAAAAAAATAATAAAAAATAAAAACGTACTTTGTTTTTTCATTGAAAAGTAATACAAAAATTATAGAAAACTTTGCTAAAAGAATGATGTATATAATAATGAAAAAAATGGTTTCAAACTACAGATGACTATATTTTGTTTATTTCCTTCCATTTCGAGCCAGATATAATGCATTTATATGTATATATGTATATGCTCTAAATATATTTATATTATATATTGTATAATAAATACAATATATAATATACTTTACATCCTATTATAATACTTTTTATCTTATTTGTTGCTCACTGATTTTATTTAATGTTATGGTATTATCACTCTCCATGTAACAAAACATTTTTGTAACATGATTTTTGTTGACTTTATACAAAATCTCATTGAATGGCTGCTCCATAATTTAAGTAACCCAGTAATTCCAAGAAGAGGGTTATACCTCCATAGGTAATGCCAGAATTAATATGGGGATTTTTTTCCTCTGTGATTCTAATTTGTTTTAACCAAGCTATTTATTTCAAAAGATGACTAAAAAAATCTGCTCTGACCAGGTCACCTCAACTGTAGTGCCTTGGGAAATCTGGGATGAGTCAGTACCATGCCTTGGAAAACATTATCACGAACCATTTTAACTTAGAAGCAGACATACTGGCATCAGAAAAGTAATAAAATAACTTAGAATGCATCTTGTATCCCATACCCTAGGATCCCTGCAGACAGGTATTCCTGCATACCTAGTAACAATCCCAAATCTACAAGAATAACTCAAAAAGTTCGTTATAAAGCAGAATTAAAAGATAATATAAATCTTCCCATAAACTTTTTAAAGACCCTTCATATACCTCGGGTACAAGCAATAGAAAAACTGATGTAATGATAAGGGGCTGTCCTCTTTTCTCTCTCCTTTGAATCTTCTCCCTTCGTGAGATCATAAAATACTAAGCTTTCCAGGCCCCTTTGGAGCGTATTTCTCAGTACGACCTGATCTATGCGTTTCCCTGGTTGCAATCGTAGTATTGGCTCAATAAATCCTATGCTTTAAGTGTTTGGTCTCAATTTCTTTGAGTCCAACACAAAGTGTTAGTGGAGGGCAACCCTACAACTCCCCTTCAGGAAATATGGGCTAAATAAAAGAAGCTGAAATATAATGATTTAATCAATGCCCCATTGTTAGACATTCTGTTTATTTAAATGGACACACTTTGTACACAGATCCTTTCAGAGTTCTTAGGTTTAGGATAAATTCCAGAGCAGAACTGCTGGGCCAAAGGATGTGACCATTTTTAATAGTCATGATAGTCATTGACTACCGCCAGAAAACTTATGAGTTTATACTTTTACCAATAGTGTGTGAGAAACTCATTATCTCACACGTGTATATAATCATTTTAAATATTAAATTGTATATTGTTTTCACTTGCATTTCTTACTCTTGCATATCTTCATATTCCATTGGCCACACTGATCTTGTCAGAACAGAGCAAGGGCAGTGAGTCTAGTCGGCACTGGATGCTTATTACCAACATCTCATCGAACTCTCAAAAAACCTCTTAATTGTTATTTTCCAAGTGCGCGAGGAGGGTGCTCAGTCAACTGAGGGCTGACAGTGAACATTTGTCCCTTTGCAAAGGCCAAGTAAGGAGGAAAAAAAAGAGGAGGGACTCTTAAGCCATCCAGGGATAAAGCCGACAACTTTTACTTTCAAGAGACGCAAAGGTAGGCAAACCTTAACAACACCGAACCATAGCAACGGCGCTTCCAACCCTTAGACAGGCGGAAGAAGGACGCATGCGTCATGCGCGCTCCTGCGCCCCCACCCGCCCCTTTGGGAGCGCTCTGCGCAGGCGCGGGCTTAGTTTGCAGCAGCACCTGGCCTCAGCTGATGTCGTCATCGGCCGGCTCTTCCCCCGCCCAGACTCCGCGGTCGCCTTGCTCTCCAGCGACTCCCGTCGCTCCACCCCCCGCACCGGGACTGCCGACTCGTTGACCCTGTTCTAGGGCCTGTCCCACCGGAGCTGCCCGGGACTGCGCAGCGCCCCGCGTGCCGGTGAGCGACCCCGGACGCCCAGGCCCCAGATCCCCTTCTGGAGCGAGGCCGAGCGGCTGTGCCAGGGGCAGAGCCGGGACTGACCAGGAGGTGGAGGAGGGGAGGCCGCTGGGGAGCGGGGCCCGCCGGATGACGGGGGCGGTCTCAGGGATGGTGGTGGAAGTGTCGCGCCGCCGCCTCTTACACGGCCAAGCCCGGCGCTCGGGGTTGATCCCAGGCCCCTGCAAACCTTGAGCAGCCAGGTGGCCCTTGGTTTTGCTGTTCTTGAATTTTCTTGCCCGATTGTCTGGATCTTATTTTTAACCTTTACGGAATAGGCTGTGTGCTGTGTTTTGTTTATGGAGCGTTTTGAAAAGCGCTGATTATTTTCTTTCTCAAGTCCTTTCAGAACTGAAACCAGTGTGCACAGATCACGAATCATTTAAATGGAATGGAGTGCTGTGGTTTTGTTGTTGTCGGTTTTTTGTTTTTTTTTTAATCCTTTCCGTACTGAATCTGATATCCGTGTTGGTTTTCAGTAAATTAAGAGACTGCGATAAAAACATTGAGCACAGAGAGGAGGAGAAAGGGGTCTAGCACACCTTTTTAAACCGACGAATCTCCAAGAATAAGTGACTATACCTGTCAGTGTCCAGAGGAAAATATAGTACGATAGACAGGGATTCCCAGTACCTGAAAGTGTCTGGCGCTTGTCCAAACACCTGCCTAAAGCGGGATAGATCAAAGCAGCTGTTAGAGAAGAGCCCCAGACCAAGAGCCACCCAACTTTGCCTTATGTATCTTTTCCCCCAAGGCCTTCCAGTAGGATGCAATTTGCACCCCTGCTGTGTTGACTGAGGTTCCAGAAAAGGTGACCGAGGCCTTGCTGCTGAGGCTAGTTCATCTAATCCCAGTTCATCCAATGTTCCACATAGACCCCGAATTCACAGTGTTTGGAGACAGTGATGTTAAATCACTTCTGAACCACCAGTGGCTGGCAAGTGTTGGTTTGAATCAGATTTAATGTCATTGAGCCAAATTAAGGTAATGCTATTTTAGAAGTCATAAGTCATTTTTGATTTTGAACTTGTGTGGGCACTGTGTGCATAGATTTTTTTTCAGTAATGAAATAGTGGGGGAGGGGGGCCTTAAGCCTCATTCTACAATTTTAAGTTTGTACACTAGCTGTATAGTTTTTTTTATCCTGCTGTTTACACTGTGTTTGAGTGATAGCAAAAAATGGATGGCATGCCAGTTCTAAAAAGTAAATTTTTCTTCATACCATTGGATAAGTTGAATTATTTAGAGTGTCAGTTTTCCTTATTAAAGTAAATGGAAAACTTTAAAAGAAATATCTGTATGAATGTCTATAATTTATTTTTAGGAACTGATAAAAGATATATGATTAAATTTAGAAAGAGTAGAATTACGTTATGTTTAAATTTTACTCCCCGCCTTTATTTAAACTTTTCCTCAGAATATCAACAGGTTGGATTATATGACTTTTAAGTTATTTTCAGCCTTAGAATTGTATGACGTTAATTGCAGTGTCACTGTATTACCTACCTACAGAGGTTATTTTTGTATAGATACTAGTAAGAATTAGTATTCATACTTGGCTTTTAAATTTATATTTAATTTTCCCTGTATTATTTTGATACTGCTATGCTAAAATATTGAAGTTAATTTTTAAGATTTTGCTGCTTTGTATCAGTAAAGTATATTTTATGTATTTTTGTTGTTGTTTTGGGGGCTGGCTGGTATGGGGATCCAAATCCTTGACCTTGGTGTCACAACACCCGCTCTAACCAACTGAGCTAACCGGCCAGCCCTATTGTTAATATTTTGGAATATTAGCTTCATGATTTTAACTCTGACAACTGTTGAATCAAAGAAAATCTGCATGATTTGAGAGTTTTTTTGTTGTTGTTGTGAGTGTTTAAATGTTTAAAGCAAGAAATGTAGGGCTGGCCGGTTAGCTCAGTTGGTTAGCTTAGTTGGCACAGCCTTGTAACACCAAGGTCACAGGCTCAGATCCATATACCAGCCAGCCGCCAAAAAAAAGAAAAAAGAAAAAAAGAAATATAAGGATGGAAGTGAGAAGGAGAAGAATATTGTGAATTTTATTTATCATAAAGGGGCATGAATTTTAAAAGGCTGAAAAGTACTACTTTGAAATTACCTGGGATACACCTAATAGTTGTAATCTGCCCAAAGCAACTTTCGTCTTTACTACTAACAGATTTAAAGGCAGAATGTGTTTTTCTCTTATAAGAAAAATAAAGCCCACATGTTTCTCTTCAGAGAATCCTAAGTGTAGACTTTTGTGAAATGTTAATGTTGTTTAAAAGCATGTTCTCATTACAAACCTGATAGGATATCATTTTATAATAGTTTGTTAGAAAAATACTTCTGGACTCTGGTAAATGGTTTCCTATTACAGACATTATTTTGACTGAATATAATTTTAATCCCCCAAATAGTTTGAACACTTTCTTGCAGTTCTGAATTAACTAGATTAATATAAATATCCCATAGAGTTCTGGAGTGTACGTTTCTCCCTGAAGTTTACTGTAAGATTTTTTTTTTCTTTAGACATGGGAAAGTCTCTTTCTCATTTGCCTTTGCATTCAAATAAAGAAGATGCTTATGATGGAATCACATCAACTGAAAATATGAGGAATGGATTGGTAAATAATGAAGTCCATAATGAAGATGGAAGAAATGGAGATGTCTCTCAGTTTCCTTATGTGGAATTTACAGGAAGAGATAGTGTCACTTGCCCCACTTGTCAAGGAACAGGAAGAATTCCTAGGGGTATGTGTTATTATGTTGTTTTTCCTTTAAAGAATAATTCCAGGCATTTGTTCAAATATAATAAAACCCATGGGCGTAGGCAATAAACTTTACCAGTTATCTTCAGTCAAAAGGATACAAACATGAAAATATTAATTAAGCTTCCTAAAGCATAATGAAAACCACATCACTATCTACAGTATTTTTTCTTTCCCTTCTGCTATTATAGCAGATATCTGCTGTCTCTTGATTGAAAACTTTTAGTTCTGTTTGGCATCTATAAAAGTCACATCATAGTCACTTTGCTATGTTGGTTTTTAGATGCAATTTAAGTAATTGAGTAACCTAATATTGTTAATTCATTATCTAAAGAATAATAATGAGCTGGTCATGCCCTAATTAGTTAATTATAAAAGGAACTCCATGAAGAGGGATAGTATTTGAAGATGAGCCAAATAGGAAAATATATATATATATATATGTATTTATTCATGGTTTATCATAGGGGAAGTCAGAAGGAAATAATCCCCTATGTGCTGTTTGTAGGCTACTTTAGTATCAATGGCAATAAGTAGAAATAATAAAGATACCTTGTGCTCTTCTGTTTCTCTGCTTGGTAAACATTGGTATGTGACTCTGGAGAGACCCTGAGGGAAAAAGGAACAAGTAGTTATATAAGGTATACCAGAGTCTCTGAGAAATGCCTTGAGTTGGAGTTGGAGAAGATTATATTTGCCTTGGCCTTTAAATGTGATGGTTTTATCTTTGCAGAGACAATAGCTGTTAGAGAGTAATAGATCTATTCTAATTGAAAGGAATAGTGCACCAGGCTGAGGAAAGAATTAAGGGACTGTTCTAGCAGTCTTATATTTTTGACATATGACCAGTAGGCTTTTTTAGCAGCCTGGATATGGATTGTGGAAAGTAGGAAATCAAGGATGACTCCAAAGTTTTTTTTGTCTTGAGCAACTGAAAGAATTCAGTAACAATTTATTAAAATGGAGAACAGAAGATTTGAGTGTGTGTGTCAGGTAAGAGATCAGGAGCTCAAATGTGGGCATGCATATTTGGAGATGCCTGTTTGACATTGAAATAGATATTTTCAATAGGCAGTTATAATAATGGTCTGGAGTTCAAGTGCATGACCCAGCATGGAGTTATCAGTGTATAGATAATACTTAATGGTGAGCTGGAGGAGAGCATCAACCAAACCCCAGGACACTGCAGTATTTTGAGATCAGTGACATGAGAAGATTAGCAAAAGATACTCAGAAAGAGCAGCTAGAGTAGGAGGAGGAAATCTCTGTGTCTGGTGTCCTGGAAGATAAATGAAGTAAGTGTGCCAAGGAGGAAAGCGTTATCAACTGTTAGATGCTACTGATAGATCAAGTAATGTGAAGACTGAGAAATGACCATTGGATTTGGTAGTATAGAGGCCACTCCCTGAAAGAGCAGGTTAGGTAGTTTGTAAAGGCATGTGTAACACCATACAGTGGGATCAAGAGCTCATAGGAGGAGAGAAGTTATATAGAGAGAAAACAGCTTTTTTGAGGATTTTTGCCTTATAGGAAAGGAGGGAAGAGACGTGGTAACTGGAGGGCATTCTGAGGTCAGGAGAGGGATTTTTTTAAGATGGAGTGAATTATAGATGTTTCTGTGCTGATAAGAATGATCCATAGAGAAAACATTGGGTAATTCAGGAGACGGGAGAATTTTTGGAGCAACGTCCTTGAGTAGTTGAAAGGGGATGAGATCTAGTGCACAAGTGCAGAGGGCTGCTCTTATTTATAGGGAGGAGCATGGGCAGTTTTTCCTTTGTAATAAGAGAGAAAGTAGACTATATGGACACAGAAGCAGATAGTGATGGTAGAAGCTTATGGAAGTTCTCTTCTGTTTGCCACATCATGAACTAAGAATGAGAATGGGGAGAAGATATTGAAGGTTTGAAGAGAGAGTTGAAGCTATGAAATTGTGGTCTTAGAGAGTCAGATTGAGAGTATGAACTAGGGAAATATAGTATGATTGTTTGCATTATTAAATTAGTAATCATTGAGATTAGTGATCTAAAATGAGACCAGTGAGCATAGTTGTATGTTTTCTCTGTTCACATTTAGTTGTGTGGATATAGGCATAATAGCTAGAGGGTTGGTTTTAACCATTATTGTAGTTTAGCCAGATGAATACCACTAAGCAACATGGGATATGTAAGCATGCAGAGATACATATAAACATATCATATATATTTATATTATAACTATATGTGGGTGTGATAAGGGGAGTATATATGAGAGGAAGGGTGTGGAAGTATCAGAGAGGAATAATGAAAGCATTATAGAAAGCTTTAAAGGGAATTTGACAATTCAATAATTTAATAATTGATAGGAAGAGGCAACTTCTGATAAGATTAGAAAATTGATATTTAAAGGTCCATTTATCCATTAAACCTTATGGATATAGGTCAACCCAAGAAAGAAGTCATGAATTTTGAAGTGATTTTAATGTGGATTGAGGTGTGACCTGAATGGGTCGCAGAAGGCTAATTATGTAAGAGCTCTTGAAACTTGAGACTTAGTATGTGTCAGTTTTGGTTTTCAAGTGAGGCAATGATAGAGGGCTCATGAAAGGGAGATAGCAGTATTATTCTTCTGCTGTCATCCACATAACCAAATCAGAGACTTAATGGAAAACAGTGAAGCTGAAGGAAGACTTTCTTGGTAAATTTAGATACTGAAAGCTGGAACTTTAGATTTTTTTTTAATCGGTGGAAGAAATAATAATGGAGCCATCCTTCTTTATACTATTTTTGATTAGCTAAACATGTAGGTATGAAAAAACACGGTGTTTTCTCTAGAATTCAATTTCTGCTGGATAATTATTGAAGAGTTGGAGAGCAGTTTACTAAAGGAATGAGGTTAGAGCCAGATGGTATTCTGATCTTCCCAACCAGATTTTGATGGGGCAACACTATATTTTAAATTCAGCATGTTAATAAATTTCTAAACCTACTCCTTTCACTTTTAGGGCAAGAAAATCAACTGGTGGCATTGATTCCATATAGTGATCAGAGATTAAGGCCAAGAAGAACGTAAGTGGTTTTAAGAAAAAGGCAGTTTTTTGTTTTTGTTTTTTGCATTTTTTCTTTTCAAATTATACATAAATAATTATTCTAGTGAAAATTATTAAAAGGAAAAATGCTATCAGGATGTTAAGTTATGCCATCATATGCTTTGTGTCGTGGAACAAACAAAAAGGATTCCTGGTTGGGGTAAGGTCATGAAAGCAGCATGGTATCTGTATCTTCTCAAATCTGTGTATTAAAACAGATCTAGAATAGCATTAGGAAACACACAAACGCACACAATCCATTATCATCAGAAAGGGATAATAAAGTATTACCAACAACCCCAGAATAAAAATGATATTCAGACCGTAATAGCAGGGACTCAAACATACTTAGCAGCTGTGTGGAGGTTGTGAAGGGAAGCAAAAAAGGAGCTCTTAAGGGTCCTAAGAGCCCATATGCACAAAGCACATACTCTGCCCCCAGAAAAGAGGACCCCACTGAGAGTACTCCTACCAATTACTTCTGAGAATAACCTGTTAAAATGGGAAGATTCTGCATGCTTTAGCTTGAAGAAAGTGCAAAAAGGCCACAGTGATCCACTAAAGGGCCATGAAAAGATCAGAAGTAACAGGGCCATCTTAAGACCCCAAAGACATTAGGAATACTCAACAAAATCCTTGCAAAAGAAAAGAGACACATCCTAAGGAAAAAAGCCCTTAGGTGTAGAATCCAGTTTCTGTAGGGCAGGAATTAGGAGTAAAGGAGAGAAAAGATTCAGATACTAGGAGATAATCCCAGTACTATGGAGGTGAATACACATACAGGCCACCTTTTTTAATACTTTGTGCAACACCAGAGGATGAAGCCCTTGAGCAGTGAAGCTAGGAAAGCAACTCTGGCCCCTCCCCATCACCCAAAAGGGAATCTTTTCTTAAAAAGTACAAAAACTCATCTCATTTAATCATGAGGAACAGGAAGGGATTGCAGTTAAGCATCATACAAAGGTATTTTTTAAAAAGTCAAAGAAAGTGGACTGAGCAAAATACTGACAGGATAAAAGTATATGAGAAAAGCAGGTGGAAACTTTAACTTGATGTTATAAAATGTACTAATAGAAAGGTACTAATAGAAATTACTATAGAAGCTATGACAGTACAGCATAAGTCAGATGTTGAAAAGCTCAAAATGAAATAGCTGAACAATGGGAGGATGTGAAAAGAGAGTCTATAGACCCCTGGAAAGAATTAGAAAAAGAATTTTTTTTTACAACACTGTGTAAATACAAGTGTAAATAGATTCCCTGGAAAGTATAGTAAGGACAATAGAGGATAAACAGGAGGAATGAAAGCACATGTACACAAATGAATGAAAAGGTTTTGAGAGAAAGTGATACAGAAGACAAATTGAACAAGTATGTAATTAGAGCCTTTGAACAAATACCAAACATTTAATTCAAGAACTCTTCCCTGAAGTGAAAAGAAGACATTGTATTGGTCTATTTTTGTTGCTTCTAACAAAATATGTAGAACTGGGTGATTTATAAGAAAACAAAATTTATTGCTTATAGTTTCAACGGTAAACTAGGAAATCCAAAGTCCTTGGAACACATCTGGTGAAGGCTTTCTTTGGTGGTGACTTCAGTGATGGCAGAGGATCACATTGCAAGATGGTGCAAGCAGGGAGAGCAGAAAGTGAGAGCAGAGAAAGTAAGAGCAGAAAGAGAGACAGAATCCCCTCTCTCTTCTTTTAAAGCAGTTTTAAACACACCTCTGACCACCGTTTTTTAAACCATTAGCTACTTCATGGTCTTAAAATCTAATCACCTCTTCGAGGCTCCACCTTTCAATTACTATAATAGTATTTCCCACCCTCTTAACAGTCACAGTGGGGGCCAAGTTTCTAACACCTAAAACTCGGGGGACACAATTCAAGCTTCAGTGAGTTTTGGGGAGACATAATTCAATCCTCTACAGACGTGAATCTGTATATTGAAAAGACCACACTGGGGTGAAAATTCAACCCATTCTAGTAAATTTCCTGGACTTTGAAGGTTAAAAACAAAACAAAACAAAAAAACCCTCTGAACACCCAGGCAAATGGATCAGTTAATTTGTAAGGGATAGAAAATCAGATTGATATGTTAACTTCTTGACCACAGTGCTTCAAACAAGTGAGCAGTAGAATAACATATTTAGTAATCATGGAAAGAAAATGAATAAAGGATTTTATAAACAGTCTGACCCTTTGTTTGTGTGGACAGATATGAATGTAAAAGAAATTAGGGTTAATTTCTTTATAACCTGAAAGTGAGAAAACTTTTACAGCTATGATTTAGAATCTAGAAGTTATGAAAGAAAAGATAGATAAATTTAATAAAGTATAGATAAACTTTTACAGGATGAAAACAAAACCTTAATTGAAGTCAAAGTACAAATGGCCAGCTGGGAAGTAATGTCTGCAAATCATATCACAGTCAGAGGATCAATATCCTTACTCTACAAAGAGCTTCAAAACTTGAGATGAAAAACACCAACCACCAAAGGAAAAAAAGAATAGAAGCACAAACAGCCAGTTTACAAATGATCTTTAAACATATGAAAAGATGTTTGATCTTGCTCATAAAAAAAAATGCAAATTAAAACTACACTGAGATAGCATTTTTATCAGGATGGCAAAAATTCACAATTTTGACAACATATATTGTTGGCAATACTGAGTGAAAACAATCATACTTATGCCTTGCTAGTGAATGGGAATTTGGCATTATCTAGGAAAATTACATATGTGTTTACTCTTTGCCTCAAGAATTGTGCTTTGAAAAATTTATTCTAAGGATAGTTGTCAAATATAGTAAATGATGTATGCACAAGTTATTCTTTGTGCCAATATTTGTAATAGCTAACAACCAGAAACAATGTAAATAACGAATAATAGAGCAGTGGTGGAATAATTTATGCTAATAATTTATAGTGGTAAAATGGAATGAGGAAGAACTGTATTTTACCATAGTGTGATATTTGGAGCATGTTTTTATTTGAAAGTGCATACACATAACACACAGAAGCAACGGAAAGATAAACCGAAGACTAATAACATTGGTTACCCTTAGAGTTTGGAAGGGAACTTGGAAGAGGGAACAGGTAAGCAAGTAAGATGTGTGTGTGTGTGTGTGTGTGTGTGTGTGTGTGTGTGTGTGTGTGTGTGTGTGTGTTGTTTAGAACCATATATGACGGGTCTTCAAAAAGTTCCGTGGAAGGATTCATATCATCTTTTAATTCTGTTTTTCTATGCACTTTTTGTAGTACCTCTTGTATTTTTTAACATAACTTAAAAAGATTAAATCAGAAGTAAAAAAAAGTGACTCCTAAAAATTGAAAGAAAAGGAAACAGATGATACAAATTTTATATCAAGTTGGTGAAATAAACACAGCTAAAAGAATTACTTTAAGTGACTTGAAAACATTGTATTTTTACTTTCAATATTTAGTGAGATGTGTTCCAAATGGCAGAGAAAACCACAGCACTGTTGCATTGTTAGGAGTAGTATTGATGTAATTTAAAATTTTTATACATCAAACAAGTAATTATGTAAATGATATAAGGGAACAAGATTTTCAGCATAATAGCAAAGAGATACAAAATCAAATAAATAGGATTTTCTACTTCTGACCAAGCTAGAATAGCAGGTACTAGATTTAACCTCCCACCCAAAATAACTAAGACAACTAGATAGATACATGAATCAATATTTTCAGATGGTGGACATCAGACAGCACAGGATAGTGATCACTGAGAAAGGGTAAAGAAGGGAGATAAGCCCTACAGTTGTACCAGCTTATTGTCTGGAGAAAAGTTCCAGGCTGCAGCACAATGAAAGGTACCCAGGCAGAGCTCAGTGGTCTTTCTGAATTGAGATGGAGTAGGGAGTCCAGGAAGCCAAAATGACTAGAGTTACCAGGGCAGAGTACTAGAGGGTAGAGAGCTGCAGAGGGTGCTCTTTAGTTTTCAGCTGAGTCCTGATCAACACATATGTGTGAGGAAAGTATCTGAGACTAAGGAAAAAACACCCAAGAGGAGTAGAGGGAACAATCCTCAGAGCTCACATGTCATTTCTCGCTGTGTGGCAGAGATGCAAAGATTACTCAGAGGCCAAATATTAAGAGCTATAAGAAGCCTAAAGGGACTACACTGAGCATGGCGCAGTCCTGAGTCAGTATTTGCTTCAGCTTTTATTGTAAAGACAAAGAAATACAAGAGAAAAACGACTTAATTAATGAAATTATCAAATTAATAAAATTATCAAATTAATGAAAAGAAATTGGCTATGGGGCATTCTCTGGAAAGCATCTTAAGAAACCAATGAAAAGGAGTGAAGCTGGATAAGAAATGACCTTAATGTTCTTATCTAATCTAGCAGAACATCCTTGAAGATCTTTGCTGTACTAAGGGCTTTTGCCCTTTGAACAATCCCTGTTCTGCCTCAAATTTCTTATCTACACTAAGGGCTTTTGCCCTGTGTAAATTCCCTGGTCTTTCTCAATCTTAACATTTCTACACTCCTCCACATACACAAAGCCAGGAATAATTGTTGTTTCTCAATTTATAGTAAAATAAATATTTGGGAAACAATTCTGGGTCTTTATTTGTTTACCAGTAGTTGGGGGTTGTGATGTGGTCTGCACCATGCTCAGCCAGTGAGCGAACCAGCCATCCCTATATAGGATCTGAACCCACGGCCTCGGCACTACCAGGGCCACACTCTCCTGAGTGAGCCACGGGGCCGGCCCAAAATTATATTTTTAATTGCTTTTGTCCACATACTTTAGCTGTGTAATTTAATTCTAAAAACAAACCTATAGATTGTAAAATGGAGGAAAATAAATTGCCTTCAATCCTGCAGGTAGGAATTGACAGATGTGTAATTCTAACTTGACTACAAATATACAACACAACCTTCATAACTTCATCAGTAATAACTCCCAAGATTTGGTTGCTGTACCTAGAGCTGTAAGAAAAATTATTACTGATGAATTTTGTAATGAAGATCTATATACTTTGTCAGTTAAATAGCCAGTTTTTTAATTCATTGTCCCACCAGGTTCAATAGCATTTGTTATGGCTGTAAACTTGGTGTACGGAGTAATTTTGAACACTGATTCACATATTCACAGCTAGGGCTGACTTACAGGCCCTAAGCATTAAACAGATTTTGGTGTGCTTACACGCCTCTAGTAATTAAAAGTAAAAACAAAACTAAAAGTATAAAAAATCCGACAAAGTTCAGAATATTATCGTGATAATTTTTAAAGTCTTTTTCTGCCTTTTTTTTTTAGTTGCTTTTGTGTTTTGTAGGTACTATAAACATCTATTTAAACTACCTAATAGATAATCCAGTAGTGATCACTATGCTACTCAGGTTGAAAGTCCAAAGTGAGTAGGCCGAACCCATGGCTCACCCGGGAGAGTGCAGCGCTGGGAGCGCAGCGTCGTTGGGAGCGCTGAGGCCGCTGATTCGGATCCTATATAGGGATGGCCGGTGCGCTCACTGGCTGAGCGCGGTGCGGGCGACACCAAGCCAAGGGTTACGATCTCCTTACCGGTCACACACACACACACATACACACACAAAGTGAGTGAGTGGGAACTTATTTGTTTGCTCGAGACAACAGTATGGACGTAGTAGCAGTGATTTAGCAAATTTTGTTTGCTTGTTTTGTTTTTTAATAAACTATCTTGGTGTCTTTTCTTAGGCAACTTAAAATACTCAGAATATTTATAAAACATCTGCAGGAGGCACTTTAATAGCTGTTCTGAAGTGTGCAGAGATTAAATCCATCAAGGCATTTAGAAAGGAGTTGGTGGGGAGGAGAGAGTGGAAGAAAAGATAAAATGAAAAATTTTTGTGTGAGTAGAGTATAAGGAAAAGATGAAGTAAGTGACATGCAAGATAGAAAGAAACAGAAAGAGTGCTATGGCCTTTCAGCAGAGGGCTGTATATTGGAGAGATCGAGAAATGTTTTCTTGAAAAGCTAGTGTTGAGGCTAACCTTGAAGAAATGAGCAAATTTTCGTCTCTGGAGATTGGAAAGAAAAGAGAGTGAGAGGGGTATATTTCAGGAGCAGTAGAAGAACAGTAAAGGTATATAAAGTTTATTTTTTCCTTATCTTATACTTGCATAATATTATCTCTTTTCTTGATTTTTAAAAAACATTGTAACATCTTCAAAGCAAAGTTGATCAGTGTAAACAATGTTTTAAAAACTGAGTACATATGTACTTTGGGATGAGGAAACTAAAAGAACTGATCATAGTGAGATTGATGAGGCATGTAGTTTTATCAGTATTAGTCTTAAAGAGCTTCCCAGGTGGTCCTGATAAGCAGTGACTTTAGGGGATTATATAATGGCAAAACTCACATGTAAAAATTCTGCTTCAGTGAATTCAGAAGGGAGTTTCAAAATCTGTATTCCTACAAAGCTCCTCAGCTTGATTCTAATGTTAGCCTCGTTTGGGAATCACTACAGTAAATGCTCTGGCTATTACAGGTTGAACATCCCAGATCTGAAATCCAAAATGCTTTGAAATCTGAAATGCTCTGAAATACAGAACTTTTTGACACGATACTCAAAGGAAATGCTCAGTGGAGCATTTGAGATTTGGGATTTGGGATGCTTAACAAATAAGTATAATGCAGATATTACAAAATCCGAAAAAATCTGAAATCTGAGACATTTAAAAAATCCCAAGCATTTTGGATAAGGGATATTATATAACCTGCAGAAGCCTGAAATCCCAGTCTCCAAAAAGGTGAATTCATCTGTTAAGGAGAACATTTAAACGGTTAATAGACTCAGACTCAACCTTACCAAATACTTTAAGAGTGTGAAAATTTGGTAAAACTATACATGTTTTTCTGATAGCATAATGTATAGGGGGAAATTCAAATTGAAAATATCTTCTCTAAATGTTGCATTATGTAATTTTTGATGCACATGTATTTAAATACTACTTTTTTCCTTTTCAGAAAGCTGTATGTGATGGCTTCTGTGTTTGTCTGTCTGCTCCTTTCCGGATTGGCTGTGTTTTTCCTTTTCCCTCGCTCTATTGATGTGAAATACATTGGTGTAAAATCAGCATATGTCAGTTATGATGTTCAGAAGCGTACAATATATTTAAATATCACGGTAAGTACAAATTTATATTAAAAATGTTTGATTTCATTCCTTCATTTCTGTTAAGAGGATGTTTGTTAAACGTGACTCTGGTTGGTTTGCGTTCTATGTGCCTCTGCTGTATTGACCTTCTCTACCATTTCTGATAATGCTAAAAATGGTGAGTAATGGATACTTGCAATTATGCATATATACACAATCATTTAGCATTTGAAGATGTCTTTAGGAGGCTAAAATAAACTAAATTTCTGGCAAAGAAAAAAGTATTACAGTCAATTTACTTTTCAACATTTGAGTCTGAATAGCTCCTGGCAAGGTATTAACATAGTTGATTTGATAGATGTTCTAAACATAACATTTTCATTTCCATGTATTTTGTCAAACACTACTTTTGTCATTTTTTTTTTTCCTTTTTGTCTTTTTTCGTGTCCAGCAATGGATTGCAACCCTCAGTGTCGCGCCCGTACCGGACCGGCAACGGGATTGCAAACCCCGGTGCTGCACCCGCACCTCGCTCAGCCAGTGAGCGGGAACTGGTCTGTATGTGGGATCCGAACCCTCGGCGGGAGCGCCACTGCGCTCCCAAGCGGCGCACTGTAGCAGTGCGCCACCGGGCCGGCCCCTACTTTTGTCATTTTTTTCTTTTTTTTCATTTTTTTCGTGACTGGCAACGGATCACAACCCTCAGTGTCGCACCCGTACCGGACCGGGACCGGCAACAGGATCGCAACCCTCGGTGTTGCACCCGCACCTCGCTCAGCCAGTGAGCAGCCGCTCTGTATGTGGGATCCGAACCCTCGGCAGGAGCGCCGCTGCGCTTCCCAAGCGGCGCACTGTAGCAGTGCGCCACCGGGCCGGCCCTACTTTTGTCATTTTTAACAGACCATTTCTTTATTGTGTTTAAAGATGATGTACAAGAGACTGATTTCTGTGTTGTAAATTAGTATTTGTGAAAATGTCCTCTGTGTTTCCCAGGACACTGGTTTTTAGTAGGGCTGTGCCACCTCCTTACTCCTGAAGACAAAAACCAAAAACCTCAGAGAAGTTCTGTCTGTTTTACATAAGAACATTCGTTTGAAAAAAAATATGCTTTGCTAACTACTGCATTAGAAAAAGCGCAGATAAATACGATTGGCCATGCCATTAGTACTCATTTATGGCTTCAGGCCCGAGGTGTGTCTGTTTGGAAGAGTGAGACTGGACTTAATTGGTTTTCCTCACAGAGGAGGATGGTATGGTTAAGGCTGCGGTAGAGATGCCTGTGGTGGTGGTTAGGAGCAGGCAGTTTGGGAAGGACATAGTGAAAGGGAATGGTATGTTAAAGTAGTGGAATCACTACTTGACTACAGGAAAAAAAGAACTCCCACAGATCTATTTATCCTCATTGCTGTCAAAAGTTGCCAATCTAAGGGCTTTAAAAACAAAACAAAACTGTATCTGTAGGAAAAAATCTTTCATAACACAATGCTAATTATAAGTCGTTTCATATGACCAGGAAATTATTGTTGGGTATTTTTCCGCTTTAAGAGCCCTTGAGAACAAAGAACATATTTTCCTTTTTTTTTTTTTTTTTTTTTTTTTTTTTGTGACTGGTAAGGGGATCGCAACCCTTGGCTTGGCGTCGCCCGCACCACGCTCAAGCATTGAGCACACCAGCCATCCCCGTATAGGATCCGAACCTGCGGCAGGAGTGCCGCTGTGCTCCCACCACCGCACTCTCCCGAGTGAGCCACGGGGTTGGCTCGCATATTTTCCTTTTTGTGCAATGTTTAAAGCAGTGGCCAGATTTTTTGGCCTACCTCTAAAGTCTGTTTTAGTATCAAATACTGTGAATATGTAATAATAATAAAAACCATGTGACATTAACTTTTTTTTTTTTTTTTTGACCGGTAAGGGGATCGCAACCCTCGGCACGGTATGGTCTGCACCGCGCTCAGCCAGTGAGTGCACTGGCCATCCCTATATAGGATCTGAACCCGCAGCCTCGGTGCTACCAGCGCCGTACTCTCCCGAGTGAGCCACGGGGCCAGTCCGACATTAACTCTTAAATACCAGAAAGTGTATTTAATTAAATTGAGAATAACTGAACATTAAATAAGAAATAAGATTATTGTTTAGATGTACATTAGGTTTAACTAGATGACAGTGAGATAAGAGGCTGAGATTTCTATATATTTAACAGTATTTTGAAAAACAGAATTATATTGCTTTTGTTTCTTAAAATGAGTAGTACAGTCCTTTCTTGGTATCCTCAGACGATTTGTTCCAGTACCCCTGTTGATACCAAAATCCACAGATGCTCAAGGCCCTTGTATAAAATCGCTTAGTATTTTGTGTATGACCTAGGCACATCTTCCCATATGCTTTAAATCATCTCTAGATTACTTATAGGTAACACAGTGTAAATGCTATTTAAAGGGTCTTCAAAAAGCTCATGGAAAGATATTACCTTTTTAATTCTATTTTTCCATGAACGGTTTGAAGTACCTGTGTAGTTGTTACACTATATATTTATAATTTTTTGTATTTTCTATTGTATTATTTTTCTTTTTTTTTTTTCTGAATGTTTTTCATCTATGGTTGGTTGAATTTGTGGATTCAGAACCACAGATACAGAGGGCAAAGTATATATTAGTACTACTTACTCTTTTTTAGTAACATTTATTATCTTTCTACTTATGAAAATACTTAATTCACACTTTAAGATATTTGAAAATTTCTATAATGTTTATTTTTACTTTTACTACCTAGACCTAACTATTAACAATTACATGTGTTTGCTAACAATGCATATATACATTTACATATGTATATACATTTACAAGTATAATAGAACATTCTCATATATACAGTATATAAAAGGGTAGACATGTCCACATATATATATATATACACACGTGCATATTTTAACTGAGATCACACTACATTTTCCCATATTAAATGATCACATGTAGTCTTTTACATGACTGTATTATAATTTATTCAGCCATTTTCTTAATGGATGTTTAGTTTTGCTATTACAAATATTTATTCAGAAGACATCTTTGTGCCTAAAGTGTTTTCATTTTAGATTATTTCTTTAGGATAAATTCTTGAAAGTAAGTTTGCCTATTAAAGATCATAGATCATTTAAGACCTTTGGTAATAACATCATTATTTTAAAGCTTATGATTGGGGTCCTTTTTATTTGTAAATTAAATGGATTCTCACTGCTCACAGCAACAAAATGTCTGACCTTTTGTACTAAGTTTTTATTTATCCTATCTTATTTTTGTTTTTCTTAATGTTTATCTTTATGTTTTCTTTCTCAATATAGTTTTCTCTAATTCTCATAAGTATTTTTGTTCTCAGTCTGTTTTGCATCATTGATCCCTTTAATATTCTAATGAAATTATGGACACTTCAGTGAAAGGCTTGTACCAATATTATTTAGAATATACAGAAGTTTCCAAGATTCTCCTAAATCCCATCAGAAGATCCACTGACCTCAAATTAACAGTCCCTTTCCTATTGTGTCTAGAAATAAAGTTGATGTGATTATTAACCAAATAAATGAAATGTTTATATATTTAGCTAAAAGTTATTTGTCCTATGTTATAGAATTTCTAAAAAATTTTACATTTATAACTATAGTAATTTAAGTGAATGCATAAATGTAATCATATAATTACTGATCCCTAGCACATTCGTTTTTATCTTTGTTTACTGAGACATTGCTATCTGCCTTACAAATATTTCTTCTATATTTTCCATTTAATGTTTATTGGTTTTGTTTATGGTATTTTTGCTATGACTGTTTTAGATATTTTATTTATTATCTGTTATTTCTTGGTTTGACATTTTTTTCTTATTTTTATTGACTGTTTTCTAAAGTAATTTGAGTCAGTAGTTCTAAGTTAGAAGTGCAGAAGCTGACCCCGGCTGTTACTTAGAATAGGAATGATGCAACCTCATTTCTGCCCAACCAACCAGACTTGAATCTTTCCCATTTCTGGTGTAAATCTCTACTAGTGTATAAATTAAAATGACAATTTTCCTTAAACAAAAAAGTTTATTTTTTAACATTTTAAATGGTTATCTTGGTATTTAATAGGATAGGAAACAGCTTACTAAGAGTTTGTGGAGACGTATATATTAAGAGTTAGTAAAAATTTAGATGAAATTTTATTTTATTTTATTTTATTTTGTCTTTTTCGTGACCGGTAAGGGGATCGCAACGCTTGGCTTGGTGTCGCCCACACCGCGCTCAGCCAGTGAGCGCCCCAGCCGTTCCTATATAGGATCCCAACCCGCAGCGGGAGCATCGCTGTGCTCCCAGCGTTGCACTCTCCCGAGTGCGCCACGGGCTCGGCCCTAGATGAAATTTTAAATTTATTTTTATTGAACTTTTGCTAACTAAGGCCACAGATACATTTTCCTAACATTCATTTTTCTGTATTGCTATACTGTATCATTTTCTGGGTCATTTTTAATTTTATTTTGAATTGTGTTTATTATAGACTTATTATATACATAGTGCTTGTGCATAAAACCAAATAATAGGTTCGTTTAATATGTTCTTTGACATTTGTTGTAATACTTTTTCTTCCTTCTAATAAAGGTAGCATAGCCACAGCTGAAGTCATTTTCTTTATTTGGAATACGTATTTGTATCCTTATTTTCAGATAATTTGTACATTTACCGTCTCCTTTCTTTTGCAGAACACTCTAAATATAACGAACAATAACTATTATTCTGTTGAAGTTGAAAACATCACTGCTCAAGTTCAGTTTTCAAAAACTGTTATTGGAAAGGCACGCCTAAACAACATAACCAATATTGGTCCACTTGACATGAAACAAGTAAGCCTTAGTCATGAAATATTTTGGAGAAGTCAGAGTGTCTACTTTGTATATCATATAACTTGAGGGAGGTGGGGGATTTCCTCAAAAACTTGATTTTGGAATGTGTCCTATACATGAATAAGAGGAAATCTTCTACTCAAGCTCATAAAGGGAAAGATTTTTAACTCTTTTAAGTTATGAAGTGTATCTGAAATATTTGATGTTTTGTTTCTTTATTGATTTTTTTTTTCTTTTTTTGCCTTTCAGATTGATTACATGGTACCTACTATTATAGCAGAGGAAATGAGTTATATGTAGTGAGTCCTGATTTTTAATACCTTTGTATTATTAAATAACAAAGTACATAGAATAAAGTGTAAAGTTTAAATAAAGTTTAAATTTCCATGATCTTATTTATCAAAAAGAACACATTTTGGAATATTCCTTCTGACCTCTGATCATCTCTGTTCTTCTCTTCCTCAGTATATATAACATTTATGTACATATACCTATACACATAAAATTTGGTTTTTATTATTTTTCAAAATTAGGATACGTATACCATGTCACTTTTTATTTTTAGTTACTGTGTTAAGAAGCATATTCTCGTATATTGTATTTGTTGATGTTTTAGTATAGGAGGACTAAAAATGCTAATAAAGTAATAATACTCTATTATCGGTTTAACATTCTGAAGCATTTAAATTAAGTCTAAATAATTATTAACTCTTGTAAGGTAAAAATAATTAATTATAAATTTTCATCATCTTTTTAAATAAACCTAGATATAGAGTTTCTGGGTAGCTAATAAACTGGTTATTAAAATTTCAAAAGGTGAGCAAAATGTACAGTATAAATAAATTGAAATGTTAAAATGACTCTACACCTGTGATGGTATAAATGCATATATTTTTACATTAAGAAGTCACCAATATAAGTTATTATTTGTAGTATAGCAAATGTTCAAGCAATAAATGCTTGTTTATTATATATTTTTAATAACTTTAACATAGGAAGAAGAAATTTAAATTTATAATTTAATAACTTGTATTTGTTCACATTTTAATCTCTTTAACAGTGATTTCTGTACACTGGCCTCCATCAAAGTGCATAACATAGTACTCATGATGCAGTAAGTATGAATTTTTTTTAAAGAAATATTTCTTTTAAAATTTTAGATTTGTAACATTGGCTTATAGCATACACAACATTTTTGCAAATGCCATCTCAGTTGGGTTTTACACCCCACAAGAGTGCTATGAGTTTGATTAAATATTGTCCCACTGTAAAAATTAGGAAATGGCTACTCAGACAAGTATCACATGGCTGCTAAATAGTGAATCTGGACATTATAAGAGCTCAGGAATATGGCAGGGGTTGAGATAGGACTGAGCCCAGCATCCAGGTTTTTGCTGCCTTCGTAAATAATCATTAACAGTAATGAGGAAAGGTAATGTTACTGGTTTGTAAATTGGGTGTTATCAAAACCATTAAAACGTTGGTTATAGGTTTGGTATTTTGGCCATTAAATAACGTTTGATTAACTCTTTTCCTATGATAAGAGAATTATATGATTATTTTTAAGCATGTAGTAAACATTTATGTTTTTAACTAAAAAGTGTTTTAATAAAATTATGTTAACTGTGTATAATTATTTGGGTAGGGCTTGCTAAGCTGTCATTTTTGTTGTCTTTTGAGGAATTATTACCTAAGGGGCCTGTGTCCACAATATTAAGTTATCATTAATCAAATAATCCCTTCCTGTAGAAAACTTTTATATGTAAAAGTATTCTCACTGCAGAAAAACTTTTAATATAACTATTAAATATTTCTCCACATTTATTTTATTTTTAGAGTTACTGTGACAACAACATACTTTGGCCATTCTGAACAGACATCTCAGGAGAGGTACCAGTATGTTGACTGTGGAAGGAACACAACTTACCAGTTGGGGCAGTCTGAATATCTAAATGTACTTCAGCCACATCAATAAAAACTGCAAAAGATGCATGTAGAGAAAAAGTATCAGTTGATATTTTCCAAACTCTCAAAGAGGAGGTGAGGAGATCTTAAATTGAACGAACTTGAAGTTTACACTTCATTTCAACAGTATGGTTAAAAATATATGGACTTGCAATTATTATAACTCTTCACTCTGTGTTAATGATATATTTGTACCAGGATCTTTTACTTAAATCTAAATTTACTGATTGATTTTTTTCTCTCTGTTTCCAAAGGGAAAAATTGAGACTTCCCCAATGGTAGAATAAATAATTATTTAGAAGTCATAGCTCCAATCACTGCTGAAAACATAATTTTGGTGAAGAACATAATTTGAGAAACTTAATTTCTGAATATTTTTATAGAAAATTACTGAGAACCTATGATTCTTGGAAGACTTTAAAAAAAAAAAAACCTTTTTGCCCTATTTTATAAATTCCCATTATTACATGGTAGTATTTCAACTACTTCATATTTTAGCTTTTAGCCAAATGTTTTTAGCTTTTCATTTGTTGAAATCCTACTCATTTGCATGTGTTTGTCTTATTTCAAGCTAATGATTGCATAACACTTATAAACCAAAATAATCTTTGCAAAATTCTGTACCTAAAATTTTTAAAGGCCCCTAAATAATGTGTTTCACATGTCTTTCCATATTAGTTATAGTTTTGTGAAATTTTCATGTGATCTTTAAACATAGTTATTTAATGTTCAGTATTGTAAATAAATTGTGCATGGCTTTTTACAGCCTTAATAAATGTCAAAGAAAGTGGTACAGATTCAAAATTAAAGCCAAGTTGCTCATAAAAATAAATAATATAGGAAAATGAAATTCAGAAACCTATAGAATGTGAATAGGTGCCAATTACTTGTTGGATCTGGCATAAAATAGATTTGAAATAAAATATTTTGACACTCGACTTTTTTTTAATGTTGCTTTTCCTACTAAAAAGTGGTGTAGACACTTTTCACAACAATTAGGTACCCAATTATCAATTTTACGAATGTTTTAGAGGAGGAAATTATTTGTTTGATAGAAATTATTCAAAAATTTTGTCATTAAATGACAGTGGGTATATCAATATAAAACCTGTATTATGCTTTTAAAAATTTCCTGGCTTTCCAGATCACATGGATATGATGTCTCTAAGCCATTACATAAATTTTCTGCTTTTGGTTTTAATTTTATTTAAAATTGTTTTCTTTTCAAGTATAAATTACTACACTCACTTTGCTGTTTCACGTTTTCAATACCATTTTCCATTTGGTCTTTGCCTTTTCACTTACCTAGTTCTAAGGACCTTTTAAATACATACCACTAAGCATAGGGGTTATGATACCAAAAAAAAGTAAGTGGGTTGAAGTTCATATCTCTCTGTTTTCTAGTAACAGAAATCAGGTTTCCTGTCCCCCACCCCCAAGTGCCTGACTTAGGTCTGAAACATAGTCTAAATAATCACTCTGACTCTCAACTATAAAACATAAGCTTCATTTGTTTAATTCTGCCTTCAAACACATTCAGGTTTCACCTTAGCTTTCATGTCATTTTCATTTTCCTGAGTGAACATTTTAAATAGGTGGAATGTGCTAACTTTTTTTACTACTTAGTCTTTCCTTAATCCATTACCAAGTCAGCCATCTTAAACCCAAATCACCTGTTTAAATTCATTATGGACTTTTCTAGTCAAACCCAATCTTTTCGTGTTTCTTCTGCTGTTTTTTCTGACTATTCCCATTCTCCCTGAAACTGTACACGTCTCTAATGTTGATTCTGTTTGTATTTTTCAAATCATTCTCATTTTTCTTCCTTCCCTCATTTTGACATGATCTATGTTTGTTTATGCTCTAGGCCCCCTTTTGCCTCAAAATTTCTAATTTGTGACTTAAAAAAATCACCTGTATCTATAGTAGGGCTGTTAAATCTATTTCTTCATATTTGACTGGTCACCTATCTAGTTTCACATTTAGCTAGTGAGCTAGAGATATAGTATTTCAGTGACTCTCTATATAAAGTTTAAAAATGTAAAATAAATGTTATTTTATATTTTCTGTTTTGTTCCCACTCTGTCTTCATGTCCCATTTACTTAAAAATCACCATTCACTTTTTCAATATTATCCTTTTAGATATGCCTCATACAAAAATCAATCCTCATTTATTTTCTTGTTTTATAGTCTTTTAATCTTGGAAAATTACGTAGTGTAAATTAAACAGATTCTGATGATTTGTGGTTCTTGTATCCTTTTAGAGTGTGTGTGTAGCATCTCCTGAAGAGGCAGGAAATTGACTTAATTTTGAATCTTTCTTCATCCTTTAAATTAAAAATTCTTTATTACATATAGTTGCAATGGAGTTTGAGTCAGAAAAAAATTAGAATTTAGAACAAGTAAACTAGTAGAAGAGAAGTAAGGATTGCCTGTGACTACTTTCAGAGAGAGTTAAATAATTGCAGAATAAGCCTGGAGCAAAACAGGCTATAAATTAATAAAACATTAAAAACACATTCAGGTGAAGCAGAAGTATAGCCATAAAAAAATCTGGAAAGAATGAATGAGGCATTGTTTTAGGTCAACGTTGAATGTGGTTTCTTACATGGGAATAGGATAGGTATCGCAATACATTTTTTTAAAACTAACCTGTCTGTTGATATTACATGTATGGCATGTTGGCTATTTTCAGAGCTCTTTAGTATGTTTTTCTTCCATGATTTCTAGGCCCCCCTTTGCCTCAAAATTTCTAATTTGTGACTTAAAAAAATCAACTATATCTATAGTAGGGCTTCTAAATCTATTTCTCCATATTTGACTAGTCACCTATCTCATTTCACATTTAGAAATGTGAGTGGAACAAAAGAGGGTGATAGGATCCTCATCTTTTAAAAGGGGAAGGAGAAGCATGGAGTCGTTGAGGGATTTGCTGAAGATCACATATTTAGTAAATAGTTTAACTGGAGCCAGACCTAGTCTTTCTGTCTCCCTTATCTGTGTGCTCTGTCATTTAAAATATCCATTGGAAAGTTCTGCTGACTCAGCTTAGTATGACTGAAAATTAGAGGAAAAGCTCACATAGTTAATAACAACAATCAAAACAATACTAATGGTCTAAGATTGTGGTAACTTTAACTTACTATCTGAAATATTTTAAATGGGGAATGAACACTTGTAAAATACTTTGAGCATTATCTATAGCTTAATTTTTCCTTTAAAATTTAGTACCCCTTAATTATTCCAATAAAGATAAAACTGATATTTTGTCAGTAAATCATTTATAAAAAATAAAGAATTAATGTATTTTAGATTTGAAATAAGAATAGTATGAAATTATTAGATACCAGATAAATTGCTTGAAATTGTTAAATGACCATCTTTACTGTAGTATGTAACATTTAAATGACTGTAGTTTTGTGTATAGTTTGACTTTGTTTGTTTAGGCCAGTAAGGTAATTATTTTCTCTAAAAAAAATCATGACGAGAAAATATAACTCACTTCAGATCTTCTGATTTATAGTATGGAAATGACACGGCACAGTGTTAAAATAGGTAGGAGGTGACTGTCAAAACAATAAAGGTAATATATTAGGAGACTTGAAACTTTAGCTTAATGAATCCTTTGTGGTTCTTAGCCTTATTCTTGCAGTATAATTCTGGATATTTCATTAGGGGGAATGTCCCCAACTCTCCCCCATTTTGTTTGTTTGTTTTAAAGTTCTTCAAATAAACAGTTATTTATATAATGATTATATCTTATTTAAGAGAATAGTTTCAGTTAGCTACTTTTTAAAAGAGGTAAGTTTTAAAATTTACAAATAAGTTTTTAAATTTACATACCAGTCTTCTTTGATAAGCAATATGAATTGAATTTCAACTCATTAGGTTACAAGCAAAAGATTACTTACCAAAATGTCATCAGGAAATGATTTTTAAGCTCACAACATGTGGAAGCAGCAACTACTTGGCTCAAGTACATCTAAATTAATTAGTTTTATTTATTTTTAGTAAATCAGATTTTAAATGTGATGTTTATCTAACAACTTTATTTTAAGGAAAAAAATATGTGTTTGAAATGGTGGGGTTAAAAAAAAGACTTAAATATCATTTCACTAAAAAGTTTATTTTTACATTAAAACAAAATATATTTGTGATGTGCTTGGATAAAAAATTTAACTTCTATATCCCAGATTTACTTATTTCAGAGTAAAAATTTTTTACATGTCAGCGAAATTCTGATTAGAACTAACATTTGTGTATTTTTGTGCATAGAATATAAATTTCACAGTGGATTTTGGAAATTTATCCTTAATTTAGATAAAATTAAGTGATAAAAAGTTACTATAGGGATAAAAATGATTTCCATGTTTTAAACTGCTAATGTGCTTATGTTTATAATTCTTTTTACACGGGCTCTAAATTGAAGAATATAGTATGGTCTATATTTGACCCTAAAATGTTCCATAAATTAACAAATATAGGGCAAGTTTTTCATAGCTAAATTTAACTCTTCTAGAAGGAAGTTGTTGCCTTTTGTTTGATTACATTAATTGAAATGTGTCTAAGAGAAATGTTTCCAGCATATTTTGTATACTAAAAAACAAAAAGGATTAGTATTGGGCCAATGGCCAAAAGGTAATATTACTACCATGTAGAATTACAGTTCAAATTGTCCTGCTTCCCCCAGAATTTTAGAAACTAGAAGTCTGGGAGATACTGTATCAGCTGTAGTTGGATGACTCTTAGTGCTCTAAGTACAATTCATCTTTTATTTTTAATTATTGTGTAAGATCAAACAAATGCCAAGTTGCAGTAGGTGCAGAATTTCATTATACAACAGTTAGCTTTAGGCATAAAATATCAGCAAGCATTCCCTTGTGTGTTTTGTCTTATATTTGTCTTTAAAATTAACTAAAATGATTTTGGAAAATGGTTTTTATGTTTGCTCCCATGGCTCACTTGATCGGATATTTGAATGATGATATTACTAAATTCTAATCCCTGATTGTGGAATAAAGACTAATATAGTATGTGAGAATATGTTTGGGTACTTACTCTGTTTATATTATGTGGTAGCTTTTATCATGACACATTTTTTAAACTTACAAATTGAGCAGTTCTGTAATTATAACTATTATTGCTGTCTGTGTCACAAAATATGCTATGACAGTAGCAAATGAATAGAAATGCCCCTAAATGTTATTTTTTAAATTCAGTTGTAACTGTTGCTCTTGTAATGGTGTATGATGAAATAAAATTTGTAAAAATTTTAGCATGAAAAATAAAATTTGTATCAGTCAAGTATCTCAGGTATGCTTTTGAAATTCTTTTGATATACACAAATCAGTGTGGATATTTGAAATCCTTTAGGTTTAAGCTCTTAAATTCTTATAGTCCTTATCTGAACTCCATGTTAGCATCAACTTTGATTGCTCTTTGTTTCATCCACTTAGCTTCCAAGTGGTTTTCAAATTGTATCCATTCTTCCTCTTGTAATATCTCTGGAATCTATCTCATACTTGAAATCTCTGTTGCTCCTACTCCCTTATTTTTTACTGGGAAAACAAAACAAAACAAACAAACAAACAAAAAACCAAGTCCTTACTCTGGTTTTGAGAACCTTTCATTATCTGGCCAAACCTAAAATCACAATCTTATTTCTTCTTATTACCCCTCACCTATATCCCAGCCAAATTAAGATGTTTGGCATTCCTTGGAAACAGTTCTTTCCTTTATCCCTTTCTTGGTTCCATTGTTTTTTCCTTAGAAGATTATTTGGCCATTTTTTAAGCCCCCAATTCTATCTTTTTTAATGCCCAGCTCAAGTGTCCTACTCTTCTCTCCCTTTCTTCCAAACTCACTCCAATATTTGATGACTTTTTTCCAAATGGGTGCTTTTAAAGGAATTGTCCAATCACAAAGATTTTGTTTTTGTTTTTGAATTCAAAACATTTTGTTTTTGAACTGAGTTTGAAACTTGTTTTAAACTTTTATTTTATTCAAACAACTTTTGTCAGCTTAGAGTTAGTATTTTAATTACTATTTTAAAAATCTTTTATCAAGTACATGATCTGAAGTTAGATGGCATGTGCCCAAAAATATCTTGGTAGAATAACAGGGTGTAGGGTAGATACTGAACATAACCCTATTCCCTCCTCCCTTGTACTCCAGAGTTCCCCCTCTGTCCTCCCAGGGGGCGGAAGCTGGGTTGGGGGCTGCCCCAGCCAAGGTGGTTACCCAAGGAAAGGCATGTCCCCTGTAGATAAATAAGATGCTGGAAGAAGCAGGACACTAAGTACATGAAAATGATTTATATTAGCTCATTGAGGGCCTGCACGTGAAAATGATTTACATTCTCACTTTGATTTGTTGACTATATAACTGCTGTGTGTGCTCCATGGCATGAGGATTTCTTATTGACTGGTTGCCATTGGTGCCTGTCATAAGTCTAACAAACCAATGTCTCTATGTAAGGAAAATGAAATATAAATGGTCAGGGTCTCTCATGGGTTCGGAGTCTTGCTGAGCATTAGATGTAAATATGCACGTCTGCCCAGGTGTTCCTTGGCTATTGTCTAATGTAATTGCACATGTGAACCCAGGTGTCCTGTGTTGTCTGACTCACACCTAGGTGTCTTGGGTTATCAGACTTAAATATAAAGAACGAGTGGCTCTAATCCACAGACCCTCCCCCCTGCCCCCAGAATGCCCTGGGGGGTTCATGGGGAGGCCACTACTGCTGCTGGAGGCTGTTGCTGCAAGCTGTTGCTCCCAGGGCCCCCAGGGCCCTCCGGGAGGCTACCACTGCTGCTCCCGGAGGCTGCTGTAAGCTGCTGCTGCTGCTGCTGAAGTAGCTGAGGATGGAGCTGTCATCTGCCAATGGCTTCCGGGATCTTTCCCAATTACCTAGCTCATGGACCTGCGTGTGAGGGGTCTGGTGACCCAGCCTGGAATGTGAGGGGGTCTATTACCCAGTCTGTACAACAGGTTTGAAGAGTCTGTGAGCCCTAACCCAACAAGTGGCTCGGTCAGTGGATTCCGACAATTGCCCTAGCCATACACTCTGCCTGCTAGACATCTGGGTGATTTCTTTGGAAAAAACACTATGCGAGTGCCCTCTCAGATTTGGGGCTCCCGTGTTACATAGGGAAAAAGAAAAAAATATATATATTACCTGAATGTGCTCTACTTAGCCAGTTTCTCAAGGGAGAAAATCATTATAAAATTTGAGGGTTTTTGTTGTGAAATCTATTTTTTAAGCAGCATCTTATGTAGAACCATAATATGTGGCAAAACGTAGCCACTTTTCTTCAGCTGGGAAAAGACCTGCAGCCTCTGACTGCTCATCATCCAGTGACCTTGAGCTATCAGCCTAGAGTGTGGTTTGTGGCTGCTGCCTTAGTGATAACTTCCTGAGCGTGACTTAACAAAACTGCTTTGATTTATAACTGAAACATATTTCACAACTGGGCAAATATAAACTTAAATTTATATTTCATGAACAGCTTTGAAAAATGAAAATGAAGACAAAAGCAAGTGTAATCTCTAACTTTCTAAGAAGTGATTTTCCATTTTTACATATATTTCAAATGTTTACTCTTCAAAGGGAACTTCAAAAAAAGGTGTTTGAGACTTAGTACAATGTGTATCATCTTAACATGATTTCATAATGATTCAACATTTATTTTAATTTTATGAATTCCAGATTCATGAATGGAATATATTGATGAGAGCATTTTTAAAAAGTTACCCAGAAAAGATAAAGTACAAAGAATTCTACTCCCAAATCTTCTTTGGGTATTTAATTCTTAAATTTAAAAGGATACCCCTCTCAAACAAACCAACCAACTACTCTGCCTTATTGATAATTTGTTAACAAGTTTTTCTATTGTTTAGAATAAATCTAAGTGGAGACATCATTGGTATGTGTAACAATCTATGTAAAGTTAAGAATAAGGTTAAAGTCAGATTTTTCACTGTGTTTAAACTTTCACATACCTGAAATTGTCTAATTGTGTTCTGCATAACTTTTGTTTTTTTAAATTGAAACAAGGAATTTCCTAAAATTACATTATTTGAATATTTATAATATTTCTCACACTTTAAAAGCACACCTTTCTTCAACCAATATCTTTTCCTTCCTAAAATACTAGCTATTTCATAAGTCTGTCTTTTTTAAAAAAAGAAATGAGTACTTTCAACACCCCGAACCATGGAATTTCCTATTCTTTTTGTAATTTTTATCTTTTCCGTAGGACTTACCACCATGTAAAATATTGTACATATCTACTGATTTATTTGTTTATTGTCGGCATGCATATAATAGAACACAGTAAACATGAGAACAGGGATTCTCATCTGTTTTATTAACTGCTGCAACATTCAATTACTTATCACTAAAATATTTGTTAAATTTTAGACAACATCATTAGATTTTTACAGAATTAAAAAAATGTTTTAATATTTTCAAGGTCTTTCATTTGTAAAAGTCAATATGAAAACATTACAGTGGGAGTTTCCTTACTGTTACTTTAGCATTAGTGATTTCAAGAGTAGCATTTCTAACATGATTCAAAGAGGAGGCCATGGCTGTCATATTAAAGTCAACTCAAGTTTTATGTATCTGACTGCTGTATGTCAAATTTGCATTTTTTTAAAAAAAAAATTTATTGAATCAAAATTGATTATGCATATTTTTGGGGCTCAGCATTGAGATATGTTGATCAAATCCATATTACTGACATATATATTGTTACAAATCATTTTTTATGCCCCCTTGTCCAATCTCACCCCATCCTCCTCACCTTCCCCTTCCCCCCACTAATTACCTTAGATTTCTTCTCTCCTTCTGAAAGAATAATGGTTACTCTGTTGATTTGTTGCCTAGGTGATCTGTCCAATGCTGAGAGGTGTGATCAGGTCCCCCAGTATTATTATAGAGCAGATGCTTCTTCTGTCACTCTGGAATGGGCTTTGTGGAGAGAGACATCCTTTTCTTTATCTCTGCTGGTGACTCTCCTTGTGTCAATGCATTCTAGTGGCTGGCAGACCATCTACATGGTGGTTGTGGCATCTAGCCACTTTCGCAGCAACCATGGTTATTGTGGTGGCTGTGGTAGGCCACCCACATGGAGGTGATGTTTTTGGCATGCTCCTTTGTGCTGGCAGTGTGCCTGGTTGTGGGGTGTGGTCAGGTCCCCAGCTCCATCCCTCAGGTCCCTGGGTGGGCCCCAAGGCACTGGCAGTATGCGTGATTATGGGAGGGGGGTGTACAGTGTCGGCTCCATGCCTCAGGTCCCCTGGCGGACCCCAAGGTGCAAAACTCACATTTTAATGTATGAAAAGATTGTATGAAAGATCATATTAATTCATTTAAGCAGTCAGTATTTTGATTTTAGTTTTGAGGAGAAAGTGTATAGTTATTCTGGAAAGAAAATAATTGAAAAAGTATGCTGTGCTATTTATATGAGGGAAAATTTATTCAGTTCACACAAAAAGCCATATATTTACATACTTCCTTAAAAAAATAGTGGTACTCTTTGTATTCATTTAATACCTGTTAAGAAATATAACAACCTTGAAAAGTTACCTCAGGAGCCAAAGTGTTTAATGAAGTAAAGTTGATCAAAGTAATAGCTAAAATGTTATGAGCTTTTTCTATGTCAGACACTATAATAAGCATTCTTTACACATTATTTTCTATAATATTTACAGCTTTATGAGGTACAGGCTATTATTGCTATTTTCCATTTTACAGTTTAAAAAACTGAGGCTGAGTTCAATTTGGGTTTTCATTTTTTGATTTGAACTTTCAACTAAAAAATAGCTCCTTAATAATGTTGGCTTTCCGGCCAGCCTCCAAAAAAAAAAAAAGTTGAGAAAGTGATGCATTATTTTTGATGCATGCAAATCTGTTTCAACTCTGTGTTTTAACTTAAGTTTGCTTTTATTACTTTAAGATTTATTAAAGGCAAAATGTATTGTGTAAGTAGTACCACAATCTCCTTTTATGAAAACTGTTTTTGTCAGGTTTTTCAAAATATATCCTAAAGACCTAATTATGATACTTAGAATTGCAAAAACTCAAAATGGCATGGTGATGGGTACTCAGAGTTTCAATCCAGTAAATTATAAGCAACAAATATATACAACGCATTGTGTTCAATTATAAGAGATACAAAGGTGAAAGTATATAGTTCCAACCTCAAAAAAAAAAAAAAAAAATGGTTGCTAAGAATAAAGTACTTCACCACATTTACATTTATCTCTTGGACGCATTACCCTCCTCTACTTTTCAGAACCCA